ATAATTCATCTTTATTTAACAATAGAACTTCTAACTTTTTCCCATCATTACAAATTTCTCTATCAATATCTTGGATTCTTTTTTTTGTTGGCTATGTAAGATTGTTATTATGGATCAAGACAATTCTTCTACGTTTCAATATAATTCAGAAGAAGATACTAATAATTTATTAGAATCTAATTCTGAATCTTCATTGCCTTATAACCTTGAATGCTTTCCTGAACATTCTACATCATTATATACTTCTGAATATTCAACTTCACCATACAATTCTGACCAATTTACTTCGATATCAGATAATCCTGAAAATCTTATTTCACTGTTAGAGAATTTTGACTACTCCGATTCTTCAAATAGTAATACTACACAAAATACTAAAAAACATAAGTCAGAATTTATTATATCACCAAATAAAAAATCAAGACCTGAAAAAAGCCGGGTGTGGCATCATATGAAAAAAGATAAAATTGTAAAAAAAGAAACAATATGTTTAGTCCCAGTTAAACAGAATGAAAAAATAGAAAAATGCGGAGAAACATTTGCACTTAGTACTAGTACAAGCACTCTAGGATCTCATTTACGTACAGTACACCATTTGTTAGAAAATGGACAGTTATTACTATTATCAGGCAAATCAATGAGATAGTTTTCAAAAAACCTATTCTTATAGCTCAAAAAGATCCCACACAACCCACATTGTTAGATATAATTAAAAAACCACCACCATTACTTTCTAAAAAAAAGATAGATTAACTTCCTGACTTCTTGCATGGATTATCGACGATATGCAAGCATTTAACGTATTAGAAAATGACAAGTTTCATGATTTCATATATGAAGCTGAATCTCGGTACCAAATTCCATGCCAAGATATATTTAAAAAAAAAAATACATGAAGCAGTTAGCTTTGGAGAACATAAAATTCTTAACCTTTTTCAAACAACAATGGATACTTTTTCATTTACAATTGACCTTTGGACTAGTGTACATAGGCCATATATTGGAATCACGGCCCATTGGCTAGATTCTAATTTTCATTTAAATCAATTACTTATAACTATTGAGGAGTTTCCCTATTCCCATACTGGAGAACATATCGAAGATTGTTTAAGGCGCGAGTTTGCTAATTAGAATATTTCTGAAAAATGCATTGCTGGAATAACCGATAATGCAGCATCAATGGTTAAAGTGATTGCTAATCTTGAAATAATTCATATTTGCTATACAGCGCATACTATCCAGATTTCTATTACAAAATCTTTAAAATGTTGTGAAGTAACAAAGCTAATTGATAAAGCAAAAGAGTTAAATAATTTCTTAGTTAATAGGGATAAATATAGAGAAATGTTAAGAAGAGCACAAGAAGAAATAATTAAAAAAAATAATCTTCATACCAAAAATAAAATCCAAATTTTGGAACCAATTGCCACAGCATCTGCTACGCGCTAGAACTCGACTTTTGTGCTTTTAGAACGCTTATTATTACTATATGAGTCAGTACAATTACTTGCAAAAAAAATAATCCAAGATATTGATAGAGAAATTTGTAATGATGGGAAAAAGTTAGAAGTTCTATTGTTAAATAAAGATGAATTAT